TAGCATTCTCTAGTTTTTAAAGAACGCTTTTAATAGAGCACAGATTCCTTCCGTCAATGGTGAGGGGACAGATTTAGGGACGGCAGCTCAGACATCCGGTGCCAACTAGCTTACAGGGATCCAAGTGTGAGAATCAAATTGTCATTTGATGTGTAGACTTGGCAGAGGCTCAGCACGCCTTGGAGATGGAGGTTGTGGGCCCAAGCTGTGTGACAGGTGCTTCTGGAGCTAATTCTCTTTGCCCTTCCTGGCAAAGTCCATCACCGGCTAAACATTCACGGCCTCCCCCACTCATCAGCTCCTCTCCAGTTGAGTCTATAGACAATCTGACCACTGAAGAGTCACAGAATGTTCGAGCTGGGTGGAATTTCAAGACACCTGGTCTGAGACTTCTTCATTATGAGATGAAAAGGGGTTCCTCTGTGGTCCCACCAAGAGTGGCAGAACTGGGGGCCTGATTCATTTTAGTGAATCCTATTCCTTCCCACCTGGCATGCCCCTCTCTGGCTCCTGCCCTATCTCCATCCCACCTGTTTCCAGACCCAGCTCATGCCCCATTTCTTACATTAAGCAGTCTCCCTGATCTCCTTGCTTTGAATCTCCGCGGTGCCGGCTCTCTGCACCACCCCTTTTGTTTCCGTTTGTCACAGAGGTGTGCATTCAACTGGGCCCCAGCAGTGTTCCACTGGAGACACCAGGAAAGCTCACTGAGCCCTAAACTGAAGACTTTAGGAGGCAGAAGAAACCTTAGAGACCATCTACCACAAATCATCCATTTGACAGATACATAGACTAAGGCTCAGAGAGGGCAGGTGGTTTGCCTGGTGACACAGCCAATCAAAGACAAAGCCAGGACTTTAGAACCCAGGTCCTCAGATCCCCCACAGGCCTCTGTCCACGTGTACTTGGGTAATAAATGAGAGCAGAGTCCCAAGAGAACAGAATAGCGGGGAGCTCCACTTGAAGGGGAGAATTACCGAAATTGTGTGTGTCTCCTGGGCCCAGCACAGGGCGTTACCGAGCAGATGTTCAATAAACGCAGAGTAAAGAGAGGGAGGGAGAGAGGGGTCAATGGGCGTGCCCAGTGAAGGATGTGGGTGGTTCTCATGGGCACCATGTTTCTGGCTTCGGGACAGAGGGAGACAGCACTGGAAACAGTCTGTCCCACGGCTATGCCTCAATCTGGGAAGCCAGTGACCCGTCAGGAAGGGTGTTCCAGAGGAGGGGAAGAGCACACACGACCAGGGCAAGGACTGTTGGCAGCAAGAAACAGAGGTGCAGAAGCAAGGGCAGGGGCACAGGGTGGTGGGTCAGGCTGAGAAGGAGACCCGCCTGGGTCTTGCTGGGAAGACACAGCCTCCAAGGGCAGAGCCGGGAGTGGTGTATGGAAGCTACTGGGTGGGTGGTTTTCAGAAAAGACGAAATACATTCTAACAATGAAAGATGTCATCCATTCAGCAATTATTAGGCACTGATTACATGCCAAACTCCTACCTAAGAAAAGACGGACATAGCATGACCCTGCCTTCAGGGGGTCACTGTCCACAGGGAGACAACTGCAGAGCAGTGAGGTGGGTGGATGAGAGAGGAAAGCAGGGGACGCCCGAGAGGAGAGGGGGATTTCACTAGGTGAAGGCAGGGCTGGGCGTCCCAGGCAGAGGGCCAGAGATGAGGGCAGCCCCAGGCTGGGGCGGGGCCTGCAGAAGTGGCTGGAGAGCAAGGGCATGGCTGCCCCTGGAGGTGGTGAGCTTGCCAGGATGTCAGACGGCATTCTTCAGCTGGGTGAGGCTGGACCGTCTGGCCAACATGCCACCCCGGTCTGAAAATCCTTGTTCTACAACGAAGAGTGGAAGATGATGTCGCGTGAGGCCAAACTCTGTGGGAGGAGTGGAGGCCCGAGGACTCCCTCCACCCATTACCAACAGCAGTAACCCCACTCAGAAAAGTGGTCAAACTGTCCCTCCCTTGGGACCTCCCGGGACAGGGACTTCGAATCTCGCCTGTACCCCCAATGCTGAGGGTGACATCACGGATCAAGGGACCTCTCAACGGTGCCCTGAGGAAGCCGGCTGTCCACTGTGACTCGCCAATAGGGGGCACCCGCCAGCAGTGCCCGGTACAGACGATATATTTTGTGGATTGTATTTATGCTTTCAAAGCCACTTCACTCTTGTTATGACCATCCTACGAAGTGAGCAGGACGAAGATGATCTCCATTGTGTAAATTATGACACTGGATCAGAGAAATGAAGTGACTTACCTGCTCAGGTGGGAGGGCCACCGAATCTGTGCTGGGAAGGCCTTCCTGGTCCTGGGTGCGTGCGGGGAAACAAATGTCACGCTCAACTGGCACCGACGTCAGAGCCAGGAAGACAGCACGGGGGTGGGCCCGGCCTGGTGAGGAGCTGTAGCTGAACGCTCCTGCTTGCAAGTAAAACCCAAAGCTGGTCCCCAAAATACTTTCTGGAATCTTACTGGTCTGTGAAGTGAAAAGGCCAGGCAGCCGCTGACTCACTGGAGGACCCTGACATTCAGGAATCCTCTGGCAGTTGTCTCACACAATTAGCAATCTGACGGGGCCTCTCTCAACTTCTCCGTCCATGCAGACGTTCCTCGCCCTCCTGGCCCCGCTCGAATCCCACTGCACCCTGATGCTATTCTGTCGGGCATTCCATTTTCCAAACCGGCTTTACCTGTAGGCAGCAGAGCACCTGTCGCCTTGAATTATTTCCCCCTTGTCTTAGCTCCGAGTGCACAGGCAGGAACCGTAGATCACTCAGTCCCCAGCACACGTGGCCCATGAACACTTAGAAGCCGACTGTTAGGTCAGAAGGCACCTTGGAGACATTCTAACACAGCCCCCAGCCCTCATCTTGCGGACTGAGTGCATCACACAGCCAGTAAAGGCTCCCTCACCCTGGCCCTGCATCCAGTCACAGCCAGGGCAGCTTTTAGAAACACACACCAGGCAGCATTCCTTGATTAAAGCCTCCAGCGGCTTCCTATTTCTTAGTACAAAATCCAAACTCTCCTGACCCTTAAGGCCCTCGTGAGCTGGCTCCTGCTACCCCTCCACACCTGGGTTCCTGTCACACCGGCACACTCCCCGGCTCTCCCCCAGAGGGCTCCAAGCCGGGGTCCATCCCTTCCTCCTGGCCTCCTCTGGTCCTTCCCGAGCATGTTGACTGGAGCCCTTACAGTCCGCTGGAGCCTGAATCCACCTCAGGTTTTGCAATGATGATGTCGTCTCCCCACTCGAGTGTCAACGCCACGGAGGCCAGGCCTTCTCTGCTGCCGGCCATGCCCACGGCAGCACCCGCCGCGTCGCAGGTGCTCAAGTGCTCACCGCGTGAATGGCTCGAGTCCATAAAGAGGGGAGCCATCAGCTCAGCAGGGCCGGGGAGACATGAATCACCAGCACCCTGAAGACACGGCACTGCCCTGCCTCTGGACTCACTGACTTCACGTTTACTTTCTGCTTTAGTTTAGGTGATTTATGAATGATTCGGGAACAGTCCTCTGGGACACGGCAGACTGGATATTCCACTAACTAACCCGGGGTCTAGGGTAATTCCAGACACCAAAATAAATTCTGGGATCTCACCTGAGACCTAAGAGAAGTGGTCCATTTGAAAATAAGATTTTCAGAAAGCTCAAGTTTTATCAGGGAAAGCAACACCCTGGACTTGCCTCCCACGAGGACTCGGGAGGCGGACCGTGGAATTCTGTGGTGAAGCGCAATCAGCCAGGTCAGTCTCTCCACACCACCGGACACCACGCTGAAGACGAGAATTCCGAGGCACCCGGACCCCAGGGGCACCAAACTCTCCCCCGTGCTTTTCTCCTTTTTCCCCCTCCTTTCTTCCACATCAGCTTAGAAAAGTTATCAAAGGTGAATGGACAGATAGCGAGGGGAATTCAACCCTTGGAATGTCTGAGTCCAAGTGAAACAGCCAAACCCAACGTGGGCCCAGGACCCTGTGCAGTCAGCCCTGAGGACAGGGTGTCAGCGGGCTCACACTCACGCTGCCCTGAGATGCTGAGGGGACCACGTGGGGCCCCTTCACCCGTCAGTACACGCTCGACACAAGGCATGGGACGTGTCTTTATTAAAGATGCAAGCAAGCACAGAATTATCGTGTGTGGTGCTCAGTAATATCCATACAGTACTAAAAATAGAAAAATAGAAAAGAAATTTCACAGAAAGCAGCCTCCCTCAGAGATACACAGAAAAGGTGCTGCCAAGCCCACCATGCAGTGCCACGGACCACCCGCCCTGTTCAAGCTGCTCTCCTTCACAAACAGAAACATGAGCGTATGTCTGCACCTCTCCAAAGACGGCAACACACAACAGAGACCCCTCACACAGCAGCGACCCCTCTGACCACCATCGGGCACTTCCCAGCCACGTACACAACCAAGACAACCCCACTCCTACCAGGGCGGCAATAGGCACACAAACTGGCTTCCGGCCCTGCAGCTACCAGGCTGCCTCTCCGCCTCTTCTCCAGCCAGATAATGAGGCAGTTAGGGGGGCAATAAGGGCACCACCTCTATTCCCTCAGACACACCGAGGCACGGGGCGCGTGGAGACAGGCGAGTGAGTGAAGCATGGCGTTAAACTTGCAAAATGGTTCTCCCACAGCTGAGAGCCTCAGGTACAGACGGAACGACTGAATGACAGATAAAGACCCAGGAATCTTAGAAATTTACTACTCAGCATCTGCTTGCCAGCACGAGCAGCTTTCTGCTTTGGGGAACAAAAGTAAGACTGCGGAAGGAGACTCCAATTCCGAGCGCGTTTCATGTCTCTGTGGCGGGCTCTCCAGTCACTGTGGCGGACTCCCATCTGCTGGCCTCGCCGGGCAGGTTCCCTCATGGAATGTTCCACAGGCTCCTCTGTATCGGGCCTTTAGAGCCACCTGCTGGAAGTCTCTAGCAGAAGGGCATCCTTTCTGAAAATGCCCCAGTGGACGGTTTCTGCTTTATTTCAGGGAGGGTACAAAGAACTGAACTCCATCGGAAGGAACAGGTTCCCCCCCACACCTCAACTCATCCTCTGCCCTCACCTTCATCTCAGAACCAGGTGAGGACCTCATGGCTGTGCCGTACAAAACAAAAATACAAAAATAAAGAGTCAACCCTGAGATCTTTCTACCATCCGGGCGTGGCTCGCTCCTGAGTCCCCTCGGAAATGAACTTTTATTTGGTTTACTGACATTTATTTAGATTTCCAGTGAAAAGCTCTATAAAATACAGTGAATAATGTGGGGGTGTACAAGGCAGACACTCTAGTCGCATATGTTACAGACTCTCTACTATGGTACAGGCCCTCAGGACTGCTATCTTTACCACGTTGGTAACCAGACATGGAGAGACTTCAAATTGCAAAGGCGAGACAGCTGCTCTGGACTGGAAACCATCCCACTTCCTCCAGCTTCTCCGCTGTTTCCCTCCCTCCCTTGGTCTTACACTGACTGCTTCCGGAGTTTGTCCAGCGAGTAACAGGTGTGTGCCTACAGGACGTTAGCTAGGAGAGGGTCGGGTATTGTGAGCATGCAGGTTTGCTGTTGCCGTCATTATAAATAAAAGTCAAACGTGAGGTCGCACTTCCCCATCTTCTGTTTATACACCAAGTCAAACTTCTCATTCATGGAGACGGTGAAGATGTCCTTCCACAGCCCAACTCTTCCTGAAACACAAACAAGAGCAGAACACGCTGACTTCACTTGCTGTCAGGCCAGTTAGCGAACCAAAGGAAGCCCTGGAAACGGATCTGGGAGGTTCCAGATCTATTCCGGGACCCCTCTGAACTTGGCCTATGGGGGCAGGACAGGCCATCGGAACTACAGATGCTCTGAACCCACTTCCCTGAGTCGGGCTGTCCTCACATCCTTTCCTGCTCGGTGGGCCCAGCACCCTGAAGGCGCAGAGCTGAGGCCGTGAGGAGGGCCTCCACCCACGTCACTGCTGAATCCCAGCACTAGGCACACAGCGGGTGGGTCCTGTCGGAGGACGGACAGCGTCTGGGGAATGGATCTACTGCTCTGGGCATCGTGGGGATCTGGGTCCTCCGTCACACCACAACTCACTCACGGCTCAACAGCTCCACCAAGGCGGCATTTGCTTCTGGAGAATTTGAAAAGGAAAAAAAATCAGCCAAAAAGGCAGAACATTTTATGGCGAGTAGGAAGCCTCCTGACAGGGTCAAGGGGGAAGATTTTGAGAAGCCCGCCCGTGCAACATCGGGGAGAAATTTAAAGGGAACGAAACAGCCGCAGGGTAAAGGAGCTTTCAAGAACAGATGGCCACTGCAGGCCGCATCGAGAACCCCCCGACTCCACACCGGTGTAAGTCACGGCGGTCCCAGCTGCTCTGTCACAGCCACAGCGCAGCGAGGCTCGGCCAAAAGACGAGACCTTTTCCTGGCAGGTGTGAAGGAGCACTGGGCCTGCAGACTGATGTGCAGGCACGGGTCCACCAGTTAATTTATGAAGGCTGAGGCAAAAAGGAGAGAGAGCTCAAAATGACCCCAAAAGCCCTGAACCTACTTTTCTTGTTAACTACAAAATCTTCAGCCAGTCTGGTCAGATACGAATGGTGACCATGAAGATGCCAGGAGTGGGGACTCTGCTCTCCCACCCGGGGAGCCGTGAACACATCACCCAGAGAGCTGCCTACGCTTTCAAGTAACTACCTGGGGGACTGAAATACTCGTTTAGAATTCGTTTCACCATCAGCGTATCTGAGACCAGAGCTCTGACCGTCTCCAGCAAATATCCTTCACAGCTCCGCTATTAACAGTCGTCCTTGTCCTGGCAGGACCTCAGGTTTAAAATTGCAACCCTGAAAATGCTGAGCTCACATATCCAGCACAAGGATTTCCTCTTTGGTAATGAAAAACTCTATGTCAGTGTTGGAGAGGGAAAAAACAAGGAAAATTGCTCTTGCTACCCTCTAATGATACCTAAGGGACAAAATTAGAAGCTTCTAGACCAAGCACACTATAAATATATTTTTTCATGATTATTTTTCTCAGCTGAGGCAGCTGAGAGCTCATCAAAGGTGTCACCCACCTGGTTTAGGATTTGGAATCAAGACAGTGCAATTTATGCTGGGATATGAATCAAATTTAAGCAGTGCAGCTGGCTACTCGAGCCCCTGCGTGCTCACCCACGCAAGAAGGTCTTCTGAGCAAAGAGGCAATGTGCTAAAAGAAAACAAAATCAAAACTGAAATGAAGCAAAACCAACGTAAACCATGATAAAGCAAACACGTCAGAAGGAGCACACAGGCACACGAGACGTTCTCGACGCTTCTTCGCCACACAAATGAACAAAAGGGGTATTCCGGAGAAGGTCACATCCAAGGATAACAAAAGACAGCGAAAACAAAACTGAAAAGGAGCAAATGAATTTTAAATAACAAATATCGTGAAGACGCAGCCAGGAAACAAATCACGAGGTATTCTGGGTTCAGTTGCTGTCTTCCTGGAGGAGCTGACTGCCCGGCCCTCACGGGAAGGGACCTTCCTTCCACTTGACCTCCAGCCCTGCTGGCCAGCAGCAGCCGTGACCAGCCCTTCTTAGAGGAAGAACAAAGGCTGCAGAAGCTCAGAGGCCTGACCTAAGGCTCTCCCAGCACGCAGCCAGCGCCCCTCTCCCCACCAGGCACCTCCCCTGTATCTGAGAGGTGCTGCAGGATCCAGCAGCATCTCTGGGCCTCCCCTCGGACATTCTCATCACCCGAGGAAGCTCCAAATTCAGGTCTACAGTGCCAACTGTCACAGGCAGTGCATACTTACAAGAGGGTGGCTTATATGGCCACGGCCACCACCCTGGGGGTCAGGGGCTTTGAACGCCTGAGCTCCCCACAAGCAAGCAGCTTCAGATACCATGAGCCTTTGAGGACAGAGAGAGCAACCCAGGTGGATCTGGAAAGAATTCCTGCCTGGAGCATCTTCTCCATCGCAAACTGCTGCAGGCCCCAGGAACCTCTCTCGCTCCCTGGAGCGTACCTCCTCCCTCTGCGGAGCCCGCCTGGCCAACCCTGGGAGAAGCCTGCACTTTGCTCAGGCACTCGCCTTCCCTCAGGCGGGGCCCTTGCTCACCTGTGCCACCAGCTCCCTTCAGGGGAAGGAAGGAGAACGGCAGTTCCTCACGTGGGAACCCTCCCCCCACCTCCTGTAAGTCTCCCACAGCCAGCTGAAGAGTGAGGAGTCCATCTGCACACCTGGGGCTTCGCAATTTCATAGTCCAACCCATCCCCAGGATCTGCTCTGTGGGCCATCTGGGAAGGCACCTGCTTGAAAACATCTTGCCCACAAAGCCTGAACCATCCCACAGTCACTCCTGGGGACTAAAACGCTGTCTGCATGGTTACAGTGCAAATCCCGGGGAAGGGACACCGCTGCTCCACACGGGCACCGGCTTCAGATGGCCTTCGTGCCCCTTGCACAGCAGAGGGCTCCGGAGAAATGAGACGCAGGGCAGTGAACACCAAGTGGGGATAACGGACACTGCAGAGAGGGGAACGGGGCGCGGGGTCCCTGGGCAGAGGCGGAGGGAGGCGGCAGGGGCGCGTACCCCGGCCCACGGGCAGGGCCTCGGCGTTGCAGCACTGGTCCACCAGCTGGTGGCAGTGCTCGATCAGGGACTCCAGCTGGGTCTTGTCACAGGACACCCCCAGGAATCTGGCCAGCTGCTCCACCATTGTCACCAGGTCCTGGAAGACAAGAGCAGAGGGCAGGCGAGCCCGTCACAGGTGGGCTGAGTTCACTTCGGGACTGTGCCAGGAGCAAGACTCAGCTCGCTCTCTTCTTCCTCTTCTTCCACACCATCAGCTGGAGTCTGGACTGGCACCTGGGAGAGCAAGGAGGCCTCTGGGGACCCCAACAGGCCCCACAGCTGTGCCCACCTCACCTGGCAGGACCCCGACAGGCCCCACGGCTATGCCCACCTCACCCGGCAGAAGGAGCTGGCTTGGTCTGAAGCAAGATCCAGTTACAGGTGGCCTGGGGGACACAGAGCCATCTCTGGGCCCCATCACTCCATCCCTGATAGCGGGAGCATTAGTGATGCAGCCCAGCAGTCTCGGGAGAGGGCCACGCAGACCTGCTCACCACACACAGCCACTCCCCTCTGCCACCACTCTCCCCCTTGGAAATACCAAGGCACCTCATATTCTCAATCTGTGTCGTGACCCTAAATGTTCTGCCTGGAACCCTGAGCTGTCACCAGGCAGTCCCCAAATGCTGGCAGTGTCTGGGTCAGATGTTAGGAAAATGCTGGAGGCTGTCTCCTCCTTGCAGGTTTACCAAGCAAGTGAGCACACGAAAGCCTCTGAGAAGTCCTACAGTAAAGAAACATGTTTAACTTCTTTGGTACATTTCAACCTTAAAAAACAGCTTCCTGTGAAAGCCAGTTTACATGTCAGCCCCTCTCTGGACTCCCACGGCAATCACTCCTGGGCTCTGCATCCTGCCTTCCCAGCTGTGCCCCCATCAGGGGCTCCACGGGGCAGGCACAGGCGCTCAGCTCCAAGTCCCCGGGCACAGGGCTTGGCTGGGTCGGGTGTGCGACAGACGTTAGAACCAAGAGAGGACTAAAGAGCTCCTCCTACTAGCCTGCCACTGGGCGTTTCTATTTAAAAGAAAAAAAAGAGCGAGAGAGAGTAAAGCCACCTGGCCCTCGGAGGGAACACCACAGGGCGGCGGCAGTTAGACTACTGACGCAGTTAGACTACTGACGCAGTTAGACTACTGACACAGACGGCGTCACGGCTGTGAAACCAAGCTCCGCAAGCACGCGGCAGACGGGCTGCAGACGGCTCCAGACCACATGCCGAACCTCCCCGAGCTTCGCTCGCCGTCTGTGAACCTGGGCGGCAGCACCCACCTCCGCAGGCTGTGGCGAGAGGCCTCATGCCATGGACGAGGCCCAGCACGGCCATGCGCTCCTCCCCTGCAGCTGGGGAGAACAGCACGCAGGGCTGCTGCAGGATCCGCGGGCGACACGCTGGGGCAGCCACAGTGAGGGGTGAGAAGGCAGGCGGGGGAACCCCCTGGTGGACACACGAGGCGGTGAGAGCTCGAGTGCTAAGTGCTAATGTCAAACACAGAGGTGAGAACCTGCCAGGCCCGCTCCACACTCCGGGGGACCAGTGACATTCACTCAGAATGAGGTTTTCAGAGTAAAATGTAAACAATGTGAATTCCTAAAAATGAGACGTGTAGACACTTAATCTCTACCAAAGACCTTCTCGGCCATTACTGAGGTTTCTGAAAAAAGCATAAACCCTTGCCAGTTAGAAGCTAAAAACCCCGACTGTAGAAGGAACCCCATTCAGTCACCCGGACGGGCTCTGGCAGAACAGAGTCGAGGCTGAGAAGGGCACAGGCAGGGCCGTGGTCTTGACTTTGATGGAAAGCTGCCCATCTACCCTTTCACTGAGCCCACTCAGGCAGCGGAGAATGGACGCTCACCTTGAAGGGCCTGAGACGAAGGCCAGAGCAGCCAGGTGCAAAGTTTGTGTTTTAGCTTTAAAGTTCATGTAAACTTTGCATTCCGCTCCTTCATGGTTTAATACTCAAGTAACGGTTTAAGTTACTCATCCCTGAGTCAACAAAGCTCCAGGAAGAACGTGCCGTCCCAGCCCGGCCCCTGCACGTGTATACGCGGCTGGATGGGCGATGGGCTTCTCCTTCCGCCCCAGGCCCGTGCCGTGGATGTGCACTGCTGTGTTACAGGCGGGCACAATCATAACAGTGGGGCCAGCGTACCAGTGACCCAGCACCCCGGGGATCTGCCCAACGAAAAAGAATGCTCAGGCCCACTGAGACATAGGAACGTTCACAGCATGACTGCACTCACAGGGGGTCACAAACAAGCAGAACTAATGTACAGTGACAGAGATCAGAACAGTGGTTACCTCTGGAAGCGGGGCTGTTAACTGGAAGAAGCTAGAATATTTTGGATCTTGAGTTGGGTGGTGGTTACACAGAGGTATACACGTAAAAATTAAGGTCTTTAATCCACCTAGAACAGTGAAGTGGAGGACTGGCATTCACCCAGAGTGACACAGGGCCGGGAGGGACACGATCTGACTGGGTTAGCACCGTCAGTTCCTCTGCTGCACTGAGAAAACACAGTGGGCAGGCCTGGGAGGGAGCAGGGAGGCCGCGTAGGCATTGGCTGCAACAATCCAAGCCAGAAAGGACACTGACTGGGAGAAGGGAGATTGGGGCAGAAATGGGGGGAAATGGTCAGATAAGAGAGAGATTTTGAAGATAGAGCTAACAGGATTTAAGAATGGACACAGGGTGTGAGAGAAAGAGAGAGGTCCAGGATGATTCAAGGGCTCCGCCTGAGTGACACAGAGGATGGAGCTGCTGCCACAAACTCAGACGGGAGAAAGTGCAGAGGATTTGGGGGAAACCTCCAGAGTTTGGTCTGGACACATTAAGCTTGCGACCTCTCCAGACAGTCCCGTAGAAAGGTGCGGCGGGCTGCTGGAGATGAAGTCAGCAGAGAGTCCACTTCTGGCCTGGGGGCTCTGTGTCTCAAGGACACTGAAAGACCGAAGAATGGATAAGGTCACCAGGGGAGGGGGCGTGGATGGAAAGAGAAGAGAGCGAGGGCTGAAGGCTCAAGCCCAGGTGTGCTGTCAAGAAGGGGGCAGCCAGGGACGCAAGACAGCATGGCGTCCGGGAAGCCGGGGGAAGGAGGAGACCACCGGTCACGTGCTGCCAGGAGGGCGGGTGAGATGAGACCCGAGCACTGACCGCTGGACCAAGCAACGCAGAGGTCACGGGTGGCCTGACAGAGCAGCTCGAGGGGGCGCAGGGGGCGTGCCTGTCTCTGGTGGGCTCAGGAGTGGAGACAACTCTGAGGGGTTCTGCAGTAAAGCGGAGCGGAGAACAGGGGAGGAGGCAGAGAGGGTATAGGGCTAGGGAAGGCTTGCGGAATTCCGTTTGTTGTGAGAAAGGAGAAATACCAGCGTGTTCCTCTATAGATGGCAGATCCAGCAGAGAGGGGAACGCTGTTCTTGAGTTAGGTGCTAACACACACACAAAGAACTCGGACAGGACTCGGCACGCAGCAAGGCCTTTACAAGGGTTGACGACAATGGAGGTGATGATGTGACACATGATATGCGGGCCCCCCTTCCAGACAGCGAGCTCTCGGGGGCACAGGCAAGGTCCTGCTTCCTCCACTCTCCCTCGTCACCGCCCAGCCTGGCACACTCATTCCACAGCCATCTAGTGCCCATTTCCTTCTCCACACGCTCTGCCAGGCACTCAAACATTCGTCACGTGAATCGATTCACAGGTAAAGCTGCAGGGTCTGTCAGCAGTTGGAGAATTGCCACGCTAAGGCAGACAGGCTGAGAGATGAGAAATTTGGACTCGGCCGTCTCTGCCCTTTGCCCCGAGCTGGTCACCTATGCAAGGGTGCTGGGCAGCAGTAGGTGAGTCTGCCTGTTGCTCTGCTTCTACTGTCAGGGCAGGAAAGTAATGGATGGGCTTTCTAAAGCACCACATGCTACCCGACCCAGATGCTGCCCTTGGGGTGGGCAGAGGCCGGGGCAGGGCAGGGCCCGGGTGTGCCAGCACAGGCTGGGGGCACAGTAGCGGCCCAGGCGGGTCTCTGGGCACAGCTAGAACTAGAGTCCCACTCTCATCCCTGAGGCCCGGGGTCTTGGAGGGGCAGTGCTGGACACTCCAGTTACTCCCCCTGGGGCGTTCCCCCTTGGGGTGAGCAGGCTCCGTGCCCCCCACACGCTCTCCACTGAGCCCCACGGCACCACCCCCCAAAGCACTCACCCGGTGCATGTCTTCATACTTGAGGAAAAGCACGTTCGAGTCCAGGCGGTGCTCCCAGAATTCCTGCACGTGCTCGAACCAGGAGCCGTAGCCTACTGTGGAGACACGGGGACAGGTGAGTCACACTGCCTCGGGGGAGGAAGCGCGCCTACTGGGGTGGCCTCGCTCCCTGCCTTCCGGAAGGCTCCCCTCCTACTGCCCAGTGGCTGTGATTCGGGAAAGAAAGAACAAGCTCTTGCTCGGCGGACAGCCCCAGATGAGCCTTCAGAGGTCCCACGTCACCTCGCTTTCTGTGCCAGTCTCTCCTGCCAACAGCCCTCAGCCCCTCCCCCTCCCCTACCTTCTGGACGCCTTAAAGACCTGACTGTTGGGGTGAAGGCCTCTGCTCCCCTGGGGTGTGGATGGTACCTGGCACCCATGAGTTTTTCTAACACGTGGTCACTGGGAAGAGAAGGATGCCCAGAGGAACAGGGATCTAGGGCCAGTCAGATTTGCTGGCAGGGCTGGGATGGGGTGCAGGAGGCTCTAAGATAGATCTGAGCATGGGGCCCTGCCAGGCAGAACCCCAGGTAGACCCAGAAAGTCACAGCGCTGAAGGAGGCGGTGTGCCCTGTCCTGACACAGGAGAGCTCATGCCCTCACCACAGCCCACATTTCCTACACCCCTTAGGGCTTGGGGTTGGGGCTGGGGTCACACGGACAGGTGGGTGACATACTGATCAGTGTAGCCAGGCTGCTGTGCAATGTTCTTTATAAAAACTATTGATTCTCACGCCTGTTCACACTGAGATGCCGTCACCATGAGGCCTCCCGCATGAGTCTCCCAAGGGTGCATGCACATTAAACAGAGGAAGGCCTCAGCCACAGAACGTGTTAGGACCCCGGCATGAGTGGGCAGCACGAAGCACGTCCTGCTAAGAGGGGCCGGCCAGGAGAGGGGGCCACGCTGCCTGCACCCTCCCTCACCAGCGAGCCGTCCATCTCGCAAACACCGGGCCTTGTGGATACAACTTCACGATCTAGGGCTCAAGGAGTTCCCGGCCCGGCAGGAAACCACCACGGAGACTGGTGATGACAATCCGGTGTGACCAACGCTGGGAAGGGGCGCTGTGGGACAGGAGGGCCCTCCCACACTGTGACAAGCCCTGAAGGATCAGTGAGAGTCAGGCAGGCAACGAAAGGAAGAGGCCCGAGGAGAAGCGGGAGTGCAAAGGAGGGCAGTGCGCGGAGAGAGCAGTGCGGAGGAGAGGGCAGCGCAAAGGGGAGGCTGCAAGTGGACACTAAAGGCCTAGGAGATGGGAGGCCATCGAGGGGCTCAGGAGCACAGTGACCAGACCAGACAGGAGGGAGGGCAGGAGAGTGGACTGGCAAAGGACAGGGCTCTGGAATGAGGCAGCCCGGCCCGTCCAGTCCTCTACTGGCTGTGAGACCCGGGCAGGCCGCTGAGCCTTCCCGAGCCTCCTCCTGCACTGCCGGGCGCCGTGAGCGTGTCGTGCACAGATCTCAGCCGGGAGGGCCTGCCAGGGACGTGCCTGTGCTTGCTCCACTCTGGCGGCACCTGGCGAAGGCTCCGTGGGAGTCAGACCAGGGCAGGGCGCCCGTGACGGGTCCTACTCGTACAGCTGAGGCACACTGAGGCCCAGGAACGGCAGGGGACTGCTCCTGCCCCTGCCAGAGTCACACCTCTAACAGAGGATGCAGCCTCACCCCCAAGTTGCCAACCTCTCAGACTTAAATGTGTGAGCGAGGTTGGGAAAACGGGGATCCAATTGTCCTGGCACACCTAGCCAGCCCGGCCAGCCAACGGCAGTCTGCCATCTCTCCAGCAGGTGGCAGCACAGCAGCAGCCTGAGCCCCGGAGCCCCACCAGAGGTGCTGACGGATCTAGGTGCCAATCAGGGCTCAGGGGTCACTGACAGATGGGCCATAAGGACCAGATGACAGCAGAAAGGCTGTCTTCAGGTCAACTAGGCCCGGGCAAGCACTTTATAAAGCATGAAGCGGGGGCTCTGGAAGGGAAGTGGGTAAATGGGCAGAAATGAAAGGAACAAAAAGAACAGGGATTCAGCCAAGAGGCCTGGTTTGAGACCCACTGCTGGGTAAACCCTGGCCCGCTCGGTCTCCTGGGCCTCAGTCTCCTCACTGTAGAGGCTCTCGCTGCTGGGCCTCAGCACCCTGCCCACAGCCAGCCCAGCACATCCCGTTCTCTCCTGGCCCCCAGGAGGACACACGCAGGGCAGGCCTTACACAGCCACGCCACCTCCCGCTCTAGGGAGGACAAGTGGTCACTGCACTCGGGGACACGGCTGATGGGGACAAATGCGCCCCCGTCTCTCCGAGCTCTGACTGGCAGGTGCAGAGAGGGTTGTGGCCCTTGCTGGTGGGGACGGTGTTTTTCCCATTCGGGAGGCGTCATCCTGAGAAGAGAGCTCCGCCAGGGCTCCTCCCCACCCCATCCACCAGGTCCATCTGCTCCTGGGTGTCAACGTGCATATCCCAGTGGGTCATCTGGGAGAGTGACAGCTCACTCTGCCCCTCCCCGGGAGTGATCCTGCTCCTGTCCCTGGGCACGCAGCCAGGCGCCCTGCCCTGGAGGGCACAGGTCACCCCCAGGGGCTTCCATCAGCGGGTCCTCTGACCTCGCTCTATTGGTGAACAGTGGCATCTCACTGCTCCTCCTGCACCTTATTTTTCAAATTCTTCAGAACCTTGGACAGGAGAGAACAAGTCTCCTTCGAGAACCCGAGCTGTGGTGCACGGGCTGGGAACACTGAGAGTGACGGGAACGTGGGGAAGCTAAGTATACACGTGCAGACCACGGCAAGTGTGTGTGGCTTTGAACTTCGGTGCTGTGACCTTCAAAACATGGAGAGGCCTGTCCTGGGATAACTTCACTGCTCTGGCCTGAGCAGGAAGCTTTAAGCCCCATACCACATGGCAGTTGAACTCGGTGGACACCTACTGTTTATGGTGGCGTTGCATGGGGGACAACGCCACCATAAACAGCAGGTGTCCACCGAGTTCAGACTGCCTCTACAGAGGCAGGAGCGCATGCGGGCACTTAAAAACACAGCTTTGGGAACCTCGTGAATGGCTTGCTCAAAATGCCTGGCTGACCGTGAGGGGCATGAGCCCGATAGTGGGCAGGGTGGGGGGAAGGGAGGCTGGACAGAGGGGCTTTCGCAGGCTCCAGGGGCCTTAGGGTGCAGGTGCTGTGGTCTCCCACCCCTCACTCCTACCCTAAGGTCCTTACTCCTTAGTGCCCCTCCTCCCCAGGCCTCTCTCACCTAGGGCCTCTCCGATCTGCGCCCTCCTCCCCAGGCACAGCTGAAGCAGAGTTAATGGCAGGGAAAGAGTGGTTCCAGGCCTCGAGGCCCTGTGGGCGGCCTGTGCTTCAGTGTACTGATGAGGGTCTGGTCTTCACCAGGCTCAGGAAGCAGCTCCCATCTGGCTGCCCTGAGTTCCATTTAAACTTGGGACACTGCATTCCCAGATTTCCATTATGCACTTTACCCTAATCTTATCACATAATTTCACTGCAGAACCTCTGACAGGGTTCGACAAGGGGACAACGAGGCTGTTACTTGAGTTGGGAAATAAAATAGAAAGTGTATGTTCAGACTTGGGTATGGAAGAGTCTCGTGCAGATTTAACTGAAGTACAAATATGACCCATGTCAAAACTCTCCTGGGTGCAAACTCTAAACCGCCCTCTTGTGGTCCCAGAAGGGCACCTTCTCCACCATGGCTGGCAATGGGGGAGCTGCCTGGGGCAGGGGGAACAGGACAGCAGCGAGGAGCTGCTGACCCCACTGCCAAGGGGATGGCTTCCCCCCTGATCCCAGCACAGCAGCTGTGACCCGGCCCACTCCTCCCCGGGGAGGGGAGATGTGGAAGGGCCCTGGCACTCTCCGCCCCCCTCACCCTTCTCCCCTGGGAAGGAGCTTCCTGCACAGAGCACTGCCTTCCCCACCCCACGTGCACCCTGCCCCAGTCACACTGGCCTACCCGACCCTCAAGTCCAGCTAAAGGCCGTGGGGCTCTCACACGAAGCCGCAGCCTCCACCCTGTCACCAACAACAGAGCTGTCGGGGTCCCGTTTTCACTGTTCAGAATCCAGACAGGAAGACACTTTTAACTGGGGATCTCCTCAGAACCCCAACGCCATGGCGAGAGCGAAGGGCTTCTGAGCTGGACGCCCGCTCTGCCGCGCACTAGCTACCACCTGGGACAAGCTTCCTGACGTCCCTGAGCCCCTGCCGCTTCACCTGCAAGTGGGAGAGCACACCGGACCTGCGCGGTCATCGTGAGCACTGGGGGCAGCGTGAACGAAGCACGAGCCCACGGGCGTCCAATGAGCGATCAGCGTCACTGCTGTAACTCTGGAAACACTTACGCTTGTCGTTCATGAACCGCCGGCAGAACTCCTGGAAAGTGCCCCGGTAGCTCATGGTCCGCAGGGAGCGGTGGAACTGGTAATAGGACACCACCAGGTCCTTGGGGTTCCGAGCCATGTATATGACCTGTGGAGGGCGGGAGGGGCGGACGGGGCGGGGTTAGTCTCCATCCTTCTGCGCCGCGGGCCGCGCTGTGCAGGTTCATCTGACCTCCCCTGCTCTCCTGCACCATAAACCGGCCCCCTGTGCGCCGCGGCCAACGCCTCCTCGCGGCTCCTCTGTTCCGGCAGAGACGCGCTCTCGTCCACGCGCTAGCATCAGCTAGGACAATTACTTGAGAGCCTTATTATATTTCTGTCCTCAAGCACTTCTTTAAAATCAGCAGAAGACAGAAAAATGACAGTCCTGATGCTGCTGATGAGAATTATAGGGCTCATAAACCTAACGCTGTTGAGAACACGAGAACAATCCGAGACTGAAGCAGCCGTGAGCCCTCGGCACCAAACAGATGGAAGCTGGGCTTGGGGGGCAAACCCGAGTTCAACGTGAGACACGCCAAAATTAGAAACATGGATTAAATGCTAGCGCCACAGGCTCAAAGTCGGCCTCAGACAGGGCCTCAGCACACCGGGGTTCTCCGGGAACTTACAGCTGTGGCCGACCACTGGTGGGACCCCTGCCGGGGAGGGGAGCGGGGTTACCTTGGAATCACCATTGTGGAGGTCGGAGGGCAGGAAGCGGTAGGGGAGGTGGCTTTTGATGAGGCGGGGAGAGGTCAGCTCCTGCAGCAGGGCCAGAGGGAAAGGCGATCAGAGGACGCACAGCTGCCCATTCCAGTCTCCTCCCAGGCCTCTCGAAGGGGACCCAGGTGGACAGGGTCTCAGAGAGCGTCAGGACCAGCACCCCACCTGACAGACTTCTCACCTGAGACCCGACACCCTCCAGGCTGGACCCTGGGGCAGACAGGAGCGGGACACGGTCCCTGTCCTCGGGCGCCCACAGGCTGAGTCAAACTATACGGTCCTGGGGGTCTGCTCCGAGGACTGGGAGCCACTGACCTGGCCTGGAGGGGCCAAGAACGGCCCCGGGGAGGGGCCTTGAGGGGCAGTAGGGGAAGCAGGAGGCACCCAGGCAGAGGGCGCAGCTGCCTTCTCACAGTCATCTAGGCCTTCCTGCCGCTCCCGGAATGTGCCAGGCCCCTCCCTCGGCCCACAGCTCGGCCACTGCGTTCTCTGATCTTTCGGGACCTTACTCAGACATCCCCACCAAGAAGCCTGCCCCGCCCTGCCCCACTGTGCTCCCTGTCTGGCGCTGATCACCACTTAACCACTACGACTTATTTTCCCCTCCTGTCCCCCTCCCTAGAATGTAAGCTCTGCAAGGCCGTGACATCACGTGGTCAGTTTAGGTCCCGGCCATACCCCAACACCAACAGCAGCGCCGCCTGGCATGCGGTGGGCACCCAGTGCAACTCTACTGAAGGGCTCGGTGGGTGAGTCCACACAGCATGAATCTACGTGCCACGCACAGGGGTGTGAGGGGGCCAGGCGCAGCTGAGCGAACACAAGAGCTTGGGGTGCAGAGACTGGCTCACCCAGGACTGTGAACTTTATTTGGGGAGCAATGACATGGGGGGCACTCTCAGAGCTGTATTTCAGATGCTCATCTAGTGGGAGAACTGACGGGGGGTCCACGCAGGAAATGAGGCCTGAACTAAAGAGGTGGCAAAGGAGAGGAGTGGAGAGAAAACCTTCCAGATACATCTGAGGGGTCAGAATGGAGAGGGCTCTGGGGTAACGTTTATTTCAGTCTTGATACCAAATATTGGATACAAACACATCCTACCCAGCTCCCTCACCAGACGGGGTGAGCCACAGTGGGGAGGCGAGAGGGGAGACGTGGCAGAGGCCCCTCACCCCTGTACTCCCTCCCGTCCCCCGGCTCCCGGGCATCCGCCTCCTTTCTACCTTGAAGTCACCCACGCCACCCACTGATCCGATTCAGAGTCACCGTCACGGGCTCAGGCCTGTCAGTCTCTCTCTTTGCTGCCTGGGGGTACCGGGACCTCTGCTCTCCCTCCACCCACAGGGGCCCCCCGAACCCTGCAGGAGCAACTGTCACCCAGGGTGTAACTGCGGGAACGCCCCAAAGGCGTCCTGAGGCCAGGGCCCGCCTGCGCAGAGAGAACCTTGATGACGTCCAGGCCCGGCTGCGGGTACTCCAAGACCGGGAGCTGCTCGTCGATGTTCATCAGGCCGATCTCGTCGGGGTCGGCCCCCTGGCTCACCAAGTAGACCACCTCCTGCAGCAAGCTCGTGCCTGGAGGGAGAGAGGCCCCAGTGAGGGGTGCTCGGAGGAAGCCCGAGGGCCTGGCCCACACTCGGGTCAGCGCCTGCCGCCCAAGGGGGGCTGAAGGGCCACAGGTGGGGTCCCAGGAGCACCTCGGGTCTTGGGGGAGAACACCGGCCGAGCTGCAAGCCCTGGGCCTGAATGCACCTCTCCGGGGTGACGGGGGCGAGCCGGCCTCTGAGCTCCTGTTTTCTCAGCGCTAAACGGGAGCAGGAGATGTTTCTCAAGGTCGTCATGAGAAGAGAACAGGACCCACCATGCCTGCCACCCCAGGAGCTCAGGACTGTAATACGCGGATGATTCTCTGTCCTGAGGCTTCCAGAAGCTGAGCTGTTCATTTACCCAGGAGTGATGAGGGTCAACTCGCCAGCCAATTAATTATTTACGATGAAAGCTATGTCTACCAAGTACCTACTAAAGCTACACACAGGTATGCCCTGTGACCAAGAAATCTACTCCTGCGTATACACCCAAGACAATACAACAGTCGTGCCCCAGAACAATCCTGGCAGTTTATTCAGAACAGCCAAACCTTGGAAACAACGGAAATGTCGGTCAACAGCAGGACGAATAAACAAGTAGTGATACTTGGATGGTGGAAACTAGACAGCAACGGAAGCCATGAACCGCTGCTGCGCACGACACGGCCGTATCCCACAGACGCGATGTTGAGCAAAATGAGCCAGACACCAAAGGCTACCATCTGTATGATTTTTCATGTTTCCATTTATATTAGGTTCAAGAATGGGCAAAACTAAGCTATGGTGACAAAGGTGAGAGCAGGTTCTTTTAGGGGAGGTTATGAACTCAGAGGACAGGAAGGAGATTCTGGGGTGCTAGGATTTTCTTCATCTTGGTCTGGTGGTAGTTACATGGAAATATAGATACACGTTATAATTCAATTAAAAGGAAAAACCACCTGTCTGCCCAGTGCTGTGGTCAGCATAACCTGCTCCCCTAAGGAGTCTCCAGCCAGCATGGAGACACTGCCGTGTCAAGCACAGGACATGGGACAGCTTAGCTGACGCCCCAAACCATCGGGCAGAGAGAGGCCCGCCAGGGGACAAGAGCACTCGTGTGTGTCCAGGCCATAGCCTCCCACAGGGCTGTAGACCTGCTGACCAACTCCCCTCCTCGCAGGTCACCCCACGGGCTATCCCAGCAACACAGCTCGGACAGGTCCCCTGCCTGGATTTGGGGACAGCCCCACGAGGCCTTATGAACAGCACATTTCAGATTCAGGATCAGTGGCCCCCAGCCCAGAGCCTTCTGCGGTTTCCCACTGTTCATACATTAGAGTCCAGGTGTCCCACCGTCTGCAAGGCCCTCCGAGTTCTCTGCACCAGCCCCCTGGGCTGCAGGCTCCCCAACTCCTCAGAGTCTCCAACTGGGGTCTTCCCTCTGCTGGGCACCCCTCCACTCCTCAGCCTGTGCACAGCAGCTTCACATCGTCTCCACCCAGAAGGCGGCCTTCCCTGACGCCCTCGGTGTCTCCCAACACTCATTCTCTCGCGGCACCACGCCCTCCTCCAGATGCTTGTCCACCGCACAATCACACCATGAGGGGACCGTCTCTCGCAGCCCAGCATCCCGGGCCCGGCTCTACCATCTCGGCATTCAGCACGGGAAGGAAGACAGGGACCCAAGTCCCACACACGGTGGGCCGACTGCACACCTGGCCACCAGTGCAGAGCCCTCGCAGGCACCCTGGGGCCAGGCAGGACACCCACCGAGAGTCAGCAGGGACAGGGTAACCCCCCGGGGAGAAAGGTGGCTCGGGGTGCTTCCTCCAGCCCATGTGTGCGGATCCCACCCCATTCGGGCTTTTAGCTCCAGGTCGCCAGTGAGCCCAGGGCCATCCCCGGTCATCACCCCATCTCAGAAGAAACGGACACAGCTGTCCAGTTCCTCCTCCATGCGCTCTGGTCCCTTCACTTCGGGGTATGGGTCTCTGCTGCCGGTTCCTCATCTCCCCACCCTGAGAACGCTGACTGCCCGCAGCGCGGCCTCAGGCCCTCCTCCCGGCTGCACGCAGGCCCCCCCCCCCCCCGTCCCCGGCCAGCTCCACTTACCCTGCACGTCTGTCCACTTCCCCTGCCCGCCCCGCCCCGCCCGCCCCCTCAGCAAACGGCCTCCCCACTCTGGGCAGCTGCTGACGCACACGGTGGACTCCTGCCTCACGCCTCAGCAAACCCCACTGGCTCTACCATGGAGGTGAGCACAGAGCCGACACCCCCACTGGCGACACTGCGAGAGTCCCCCAGCTCTGAGCTTCCACCCAGCTCGCCCCACCTTCCAGTCTGTTTCCAACAAAGCAGTCAGAACGACCGTTCTAACGTGGACATCAGATCGCATCCTCGTCCACTGAAGACCCTCCGATGGCCTCGCGTCTCCTCGGAGTAAAGCACGGTCTTCACCATGGCCTGCAGGCTGTCAGCCGTGCTCCGCTCCCGTCCGGCACCTCTCTGACCACCTCACCCCGTCCTGAGCTCCGTCCACCGGCCTCCGTGCTGGTCAGCATGCTGTTTGCATGGGCTGGTCCCCTGCCTGGAGCCCTTTCCTCCCTCAGGTCCTTCAGGAGTGTGGGCTCTCCTGATCAGCCACCACTCCTGCCCTGCCCCCAGGCCCCCACTGCGCCAACAGCCCCGGAACAGCCTGACATTCCTTTACGGGCCCCCCCCCCCCCATAAGGGCATGAGCTGTTCTGTTCCTTTCTTTGCTGCACCAGGAGAGTCAGCAGACGGCCGTGCTCAATTCATATTTTCTGAACGCATGAACACACCCGGGGCGTTGAGTAATCACAAGGGCATACGTTGATCAGGGAAGACTTACTTCCTAGAGGAGGCGGCTTTGGAGCCAAGGCCCCGAAGGAAGAAAGTGGTGTGGCGGGCGGCTCTTCAATTCAAACAGAAAGAGCTCTGTCCATTCACCACAGGACCCTCCCACCAACCTGAAGTGGGGACCATCACCCCATTCACAGATGAGGCTCCTGAGGCCTAACTGTGCCCAAGGTCAGGGAGCCGGTGTGCGCTCCTGCCCAGGTGGCCTACCCGCTCCTGCCGGTGAGGCCTGTGCACCCAGCAGCTGGGGCGGCTGCGCTGGGGGGTCTGTGACCTTAGAAACTGGACTGTGGGCAGCATTCCGAAAATGGGCCTCTCCCAGTGACGTCCTCAGGACCTATTTTTTGTGCTCCCTACTCCCAGCCTGCAGCCCCACAGGCAACGACCCAGACGGACGTTCTCTGCACATTAACATCGTCTTCCATCAATACGGACACATCGATTCCCCAAGCCCCACCCTCACCGCCATTTAATGTCCATGCGGGAAGACCAGCCTCGTTAGAGCCAAACGGTAGCTTTCCACCTGCCAGGCCCGCCGGCCTGCCCCCAGCCGCCTCTCTCCAGCCCCTCCAAGGCCATTTCCTGGTGGAGCGACTCTCGGCCTTCCCGTCTCCAGCTTTCAGTGGAACCAACAGGAGAGCACATGTGCGCCTGCCCAGCACCAGGGAAGGCGGGAATGGGGGACGCAGGGCAAGCGCAGGGAGCTCGGCCTTCCTAGGGCGTAAAGCCGGCCGGCAAGACCTGACAAAGGATCAGAGAAAAAGACCATCTAGATGATGATGACTACAATGCCCGGTCACTGCCCACTGCCAGACACCCTTCTAAACACCTTAACTGGACCAAACTCAGCTCTGCAGTCACACAGCCCTGCTCGGAGAGGCTCCTCCAGGTGCAACTACGTCCAGTCCTCTCCCTGCTGGTCTCTCCCCTCCACGCCCACTGCCCCCACCCTAAGGTGCCCCAGACGTCAGCACAGGGCCCACTCTGCCCCTCCATCCACTCCCCTGGCTGCCACGGCCCAACATCCCCACACCCGCCATGCCCGCGGCTCTCGTGCCGGCCTCCAGCCTCCTCTCTCCAGCTCCTCCGCGGTGCGCCGCGCTGCGGCCAGGTCGTCTACCCCCCGAGCTCAGCACCCCCGTGGCCCAAGGCCTCAGCAGGCCCCACTGCCTGGCCCACTCGGACTTGCTCTTTGGCCCCGCAGTCTCGTCAGGCGCCCTCCCCGGCCTGGGTCCCTGCACGTCTTGTCCTACCGCACTCGGCATGCTGTGCACGACCGGGAGCTGCGCGGGGGCAGCTCGTGAGGGCAGGGAGCGTGTCTCAGTTATGTGGCAGTTCTTACAGCTGCTGTAACAAATTACCACCAATTCAGCGGCTTGGTGGTATTATCCACCAATATCCACAGTTATTATTATCCCACAGTGCTGGAGGTCAGAGGGCCAACACCAGCGTCACGGGGCTAAAACCACGGCGTGGCAAGACCATGCTCCCTCCCGGAGGCTCCAGGGGAGAAGCGTTCTCTCGCCTTTTCCAGCTTCTGGTCACACTGCATCACTAGCCGCCTCCTCTTCTGCCTCCCTCTCCCCTGTTAGGGACCCTGAGGTCACACCAGGCTCACCCAGACAGTCCAGGACCATCTCCCGCCTGAAGGGCCCCTTAGTTCTCCCTCGCTGCGTGAGGGGAAACACTCAGATTCTGGGGACGAGGACACCTCGGGGGCTGTTGTTCTGCCGACCACGCTCACACCACATTTCTAACAGTTTCATACACGCGGCCTGAACGACTCCCTCTTCTCCACGGACACGGGATTGGTCTGGCATGCCAGGGTCTGTGACCACCTGGTTTCTCACCTGCAGCCCTCCCCGCATCCTCCTGACCCAGGTCCACTCTCTCCCGCGTCTGAGACTTTCCCGCCCTAGGCACCCTGCTCAGAGCTCCCTCCCCAGCTGGGACCCCATGAAGGCCAAGCACCTGACTTCCTATCTCCTGCAGGGGCTAGAAAACCCTGAGGCACAGCGTCATGGCCCAGGCACCTGCGCCCACACCCAGCGGCGCCTGAAGCACGGTGGGAACTCAGCAAACACGTCTCCCCAGCGGGCCGCCTCCCTGAGCCAGGACACACCGCAGTCC